ACAAACTGTCTTTTTGCATTTGGCACAGGTCATCTTTGACATTCTTTTCTTTTTAGACGTGCAAAGACTGCAATAACGCCTTTTTTGGCTGAGGGTTCTTCTTCATCATCTGTGGAAACCTGTACAGCAGATTTTGGAAGAATATTTTCAATGTTGCTTCGCACATGCCTTGGCAAAGTGGGTGCTTCCAGTCNCTTCTTCATCATCTGTGGAAACCTGTACAGCAGATTTTGGAAGAATATTTTCAATGTTGCTTCGCACATGCCTTGGCAAAGTGGGTGCTTCCAGTCTTTGCGTCATCCACGGTGCAGTCAGTTGTTTATTTCGCAGGCGCCTCTGCGACGTAAGTTATCTTTCTCGGGTTAATATCCTATCCTTTTTGTTGCAATGGAAGCACAGTGTTGCGAGTGGGCGTATGTGTGCTTGATACCGTGAGATACTACAGGGTCGGTACACTCTACTAACAATTTATTGTAGAAATTGTTCAATATTTAAACAATATAGAATATGTATTGATTAGGAAAGAACTAAACGTGATGAAAACAGGAAATATCGCGTACCGTATCTACAACTAGGATTATAACCACTTCACTTAATTCTACAACTCGCAACGCTCCTCACTCGATGACTCTCGAACACACTCTGTCCACTCCAAACACGTTCCTTCGACACACTGCCTGCCTTTTCCAAAAACGTGACAATCGCATCCGCCGGCTCTCCGTCGCCAAGGGTTTTTTTCATGTAACCCGGCCTTCGCCAACGTTTCTCCTCTATTGCCTACCATAAATACAAAGTCTTAAAACTACGGTCTCCTCGTCCTAAACGTACCCACTAAATTACGATACTACATTATTGTTTACCTATTGTTTACTAACGAATTTATTGTCGAGATAATTTAGATTTAAGTTAGATTATAATAACATATCGTAATTTATTTCGCTTGCTTTTTTTCACATTTTGGCATGCACAGATCACGTTTTAAGACGTAAGTAAAAATTTTTGAAAATGCAATTTCACCACTACGATCTCAACCCGCTCACGTTACAATCGAAATCGTACGTAATTGAAATAAATCCAATTTCGTTATTGTCATGAGACAATTACCGAGCCCTTGCTCGGTAATTCCAGCGTGAATCCATCGGTCGCGCCGATAATCGTGGAAAAACCGATTCGAGTTTCGCGGCGGTCCATCGCGACCGTGTTGATTTACTGCTAGCGTGTAGATCGAGCAACTTTCCGCGAGCGTGCTCGACGAATCAGAAATTCGTGCGATCGTTCTTCCGACCTGTCGGGTGAATCGAAACTTCCTCGAGAAATATTTCTCCGCCGCTTTTCGTCCCAAAGACCGCCGCGCTTTGTCCGCGGTGGGCGTACGAGGAAATTCACCTGGAAAACATTTCTTCCCGGTTGTCGGCCGGGAGACAAAAAAAAAGGAAGCGAAAAGAGAGGAAAAGAAAGGAAAGAAGGAGGAACCGCCGCACCGCGGAATTGCGAGAGCATTCGCGGGCCAGAAAGTTTCCGAGAGGTCGAGTAAATCATGGGGAATCGCGAATACGGGGGAGACGCACACGTGATACCGAGCAGAGGCTGACGTCGCTGGCCCCGACGCGACTTTTGCATGTCAGGCTAAAGGGAACTGACCTGTGATGATAAACGACCGGCCGGATCGACCGGTCGAAAGTTCACCCGTGGCCTGCTTTTCCTTTCTTTGTTATCCCCCGCGCCCGGCAAGAAATTTTCTGCATTGTTCGCCGATTCTATCGCCGCCTGCATCATTAATAATATTTCTTTCCCGGCGATTTATTACTCTGAATAATTAACCGGCGGAATTACTTGTTACAGCCTGAAGAAACTCTGTACATACTTCTCCGATCTGGTTCTATTTCTCTTGTGACGTATTTTAATGCGTTCTTCATGCTCGTATATTAGGTGTGCAAATCGATTCTCGGCTTCTCTTCCTAAGATGAGCGTTTATTTATAAATAATCAAATTATGTTTCAATAGTCGAAATAATCCTCATCAGCATCAATAATACATATCTGTCATTTTTCAGGCAGTTGACGATTCCCCTGTCCGAAGAGAAACATGGTGGTTTTGTTTTAATAAATATTGTTGATATAGAATAAGATAGTACACTTTATATCGTTCGATACAACAAAAATGGCTGATGCAGTTATCTTTTATACCACTGTGTCTTAGAAACATGTGTGAGTTGAATCGTTTTGTCGTTCAGTAACAAATTAATTCTGTGTCGTCGAAATGATCAGTCTCCTATCTTTTATCTCCAAATTGTTGAAATTACGAAAACTCTGTCTTAACCCCTTAACGTGCACGCTCGGGTTAACTCGGCCAAACTGTGCACACTCGAGATAATTCGAGCGGCGTTGTACTTTATGTTGCTATAATTTTTCACACTCGAATGCAATCGAGAATTGAAAATAACAATGTGAAAGCAAAAAAAAAAAATCGTTTTATTGATATTTATCATTTACATGGGATTGTAAACTATAACACTTACTTATTCAAGTATAAAATATATCCTTTTTCTACTTATCACTTAAGACTTATCTGTTCCTTGTGAGCCGCTCTCCGACAACGTATTCATATTCAGATTCTGATTCGCTCATTTTTCAATATATATTTTACTAAAATATAATGTAAAGTAAAATATAATAACAATAATAATAATAATAATAATAATAATAATAATAATAATAATAATAATAATAATAATAATAATAATAATAATAATAATAATAATAATAATAATAATAATAATAATAATAATAATAATAATAATAATAATAATAATAATAATAATAATAATAATAATAATAATAATAATAATAATAATAATAATAATAATAATAATAATAATAATAATAATAATAATAATAATAATAATAATAATAATAATAATAATAATAATAATAATAATAATAATAATAATAATAATAATAATAATAATAATAATAATAATAATAATAATAATAATAATAATAATAATAATAATAATAATAATAATAATAATAATAATAATAATAATAATAATAATAATAATAATAATAATAATAATAATAATAATAATAATAATAATAATAATAATAATAATAATAATAATAATAATAATAATAATAATAATAATAATAATAATAATAATAATAATAATAATAATAATAATAATAATAATAATAATAATAATAATAATAATAATAATAATAATAATAATAATAATAATAATAATAATAATAATAATAATAATAATAATAATAATAATAATAATAATAATAATAATAATAATAATAATAATAATAATAATAATAATAATAATAATAATAATAATAATAATAATAATAATAATAATAATAATAATAATAATAATAATAATAATAATAATAATAATAGTAATATTCTGAAAATTAGAATTGCAATACAAATTTTGATTATTTTTGTATTTTTGTAATTTTCTTGCCAAGACAACGTTCTAAATTGTGTTTTTTTACATTAAAAAAAATTGATCTTTTTTGGCCGGCCTTTTTCAAAAAAACTGTGCATTAAGGGGTTAAAAAACGATCGAATAAAAGGAGGAACTATGCAATGTTCGTAACATCACGCGGTATCCACAAATTTTTCCTGTACAGTTGAATATGATCCAAATGCCGAACGCTTGTTATTCCACAACGTGAATTAACTGATTAGTCGGAACAATGGAGATTCTATCGGAACAGTACAACTGGTAGAACATCGAGGAGATAATAGCGCAGGATGTATTCAAAAATACATTTCTGAGTGGTAAAACTAGAAATACAGGTAATGCTTTGAAATCCAAATACGTATGAGCTTAGAAGCTCGAGGCGAACCGATAATACAAATCACCCGTAGACTCTCGTATCAGGAGGGCGAGTATGCTCGTGATATGTTATCGATCCAACACGCCGCGGCACCCCTGCTATTCGTGACTCGTGGTTTCTTTCGTAAAAATCCAAGGTACGAACTGCTGTCTCACGGGGAAAGACACTGCGCGAATATGAAACAAGCATACTTGCTGCGACTGAAATACTATGTGACTAAATTTTAGAAACGCGCTCTACTTGTTGCTGCTTTTCCTTTCTAAGATATTGATTTTTCGCTCGAAACGCGGTGCTGCGATAGAATATCTACGAAATACGGAATCGGAGGCTCTGATTATTTTCATTTTAAAACAGTGCTTCGTTCGATAAGAAAATTTCTTGAAAGCAATTTCTGTAGATTTTTACGTTCTCTTGTTCTAAACGACGGTCGTCTTTTAACGATATGCACTTCTAATCGATTTATATTGTCACATCGTTCTTCGTTAATTTTTAATGTTCCATTTTATCGATTTAGAATTACTTGTCGTTCATACGTTTCATCAGCTTACTTTCTCAAAGATCATGCAACGTACCCTGCACATTAGAAGAAGGTGTACCCAACAGTATAAAGTGTACTGTCTTTTCAGAATACGAGGTGTACTGCTGCAAATGATATCTTAGATCTGTTAGATACGGTCACATAATTATCAGAATCTTCGCGAATCTTTGCGAAGGCTCGCTGAACGTCGGTTCAATGTCTACGTCATTTTCCAATTTTTTAGTCAATCCACGAGCTCGGTTGATCAAATCGCGAAGATTGATATCGCGTAATAATAAATATCGCCTATGAAAAAATACCGCGCAAGTAGCGTTTATAATTCATCACGTAAGAAAGAACCTCGCGTTAGAAAGTGCCGCGTAAATTGAGGGACTATAATATAAGAAGATCTGCTTGGAACCTGTTTTACAACAAATGTTCGTCTAAAATAAAGAAATATTCGCAAAGCTTCGTTCAACTCTGTTATCATTTGTTACGGACGTCCGTTATTTGTATAATGAACGGCGACGCGAGACCCGCTCGATAACGGTATCCCTGTGGAAAATGCGCTCGCCCGTATTAATTCGATTGCAAAACCACCCCGTCGTATATCTTCATCCGTTTCTGCGTAGGTTATACTGTAAACAACGTCCTCGTGTGTGCAGCCATGGCGCCCGCCGCCGAAGAAGTCGCTGAAAGGAATTAAATAAAGTATGCTGCACGCTCCGCGATATTATGTATACATACATACCAACCGTGAAACACAAGGAGATTGTGCTGTCCTCGGTGTCGCCGAAGGATTTATACTGTTGTGGTTCACGTGGAATCGTAACGCACGAATAATCGTGATCCATGTTCGGGAAAATGGTGCACAGCTCTTACGTAAGTAATGAATATGAATTTTCTGTTGGTCGGGGTGAACGAAATTTTGAGACGCGCACGAATCGTCTCGGAAGCAGAGTTGAAACTTTGCTCGCTTGTTATTTTCCCACAATGGACTTCCTTCGCAAGAAAAAAAAAGATGCTATCTTCCACATTTTCTGAAAAGTAAGTCAGCTCTAGGTATGGTAATTTTTGTAGTAAAAATAAATAACAGCTTTAGCGGTTCGTTCACTGTAAGAAATTTTATCTCCATTTTAGCTTCAGTAAAATTAATTATGAGAGTGGCAATTTGCATAAGAGACCCCCCGGTTTAATGGAGATCGCGGAATGCTTTCATAATTGAAGTTAAATGACGAACGTCAATTAATGTTCGTCACGACGACCTTTTCATAGGAAAATTAAATACTTGACAGACGTTGTTACGCCGCGAATGTTCGCACGTAAAATCGCGAAGTATGTACCTCGTACCGCATAATAGTTTATGCCAATGAAAACAGGACAACTAATTTCATTTCGCGTTTGCGCTCGCATTTCCCGCCGTTGTAATTGAATGATATTAACGCGTACAGTTTGTATACACCGTATTAAACTTGCATTCGTAATTGACAACGCGACGTACGGTTGTAAATATTTATGGAAAATTACGGTGTAACTTGCGCGCATTATTACGCGGGAAATTTTTGCCGTATCCCGGTTTTGTAAACCCACGGACGCCGACATTAAGCTCCGCGTCGCCGCGGGCAAAGTAAATTAATCGCCGCGGATTGTAGCATTTACATACTATATAATATTAAGCGCAGCGGCGTCGAGTCGAAAATTTGCCCGAACCTGTAGAATTCGCGTGCATTTAAATAAGCATCGGTGTTCGATGCGGCTTGTCGTTAACGCATCCGCCGCCGCCGAACGTATTTCTGACGGACTTTCAGCTCTCTCTACTTATATTACGTTATATTAAAATGAATAAGGGAATACCGAGTTAAATTGCAATGTTGACTCGGACAGAGATAATAAGCGCAGGTATTACTATATGAATTTAATTGTGTTTAATAGTTCTCTCATTCGCAGTTGTCTTCTCTATAGAGTAAGTGTGTATTACTGCGGATACAACAAATACTGCGGTATTTTATAAAAGTAATAAAATCTAACATTTCATAGTGTGTAATCTTTTAGAAATGAATCTCATAATTTTTTATATGTTTAATATTCATAAGTTATGACATATTAGTAACAGCAATCGCAGTTTTAATTCATTTATTAACTTTTGATATTCGGAAGTTTATGAAAACGTTGAGTCTTATGAAATACTCGTAATGGCAGCTGTGAACGCTATGCATTTTTTCAGCATAGCAGTAATTTTTTCAGCATAGCGTAGTAATAATGCACAAAACAAGAGTTCGATTACCTAATAAAACGCGAAATTACTTACTTAAACGCGAAAACAGAGTTTCGAAGCCGCGAGACTCGCAAATAAACAATTTAGAAGCACCAATTATTTTTAAGGCTTCGTCCGGGAGAAGACCCGGGCCACGTCGCGCGTCTCGTCGTTCCAGAAACTTGAACTTCATTATCGCCTCTCGCCGATAGCAAATTTTACGACGCGTTAGCGATGCGAAGTAATTACGATGAATTTTCCACGATGTCTAATTATTCCTATCAGAAATGTTGATCCATAGATAAAATTATACGTGCCCGCAAGGCATGATTATAAATATAGGATACTTGATCGTTGCACAAGGGTACACAGGAGATTCTGTTTTAGTTGCGATATTAATTGAATGGTGCGGTGATTTAACAATATCATTAAAACAGCCCCCGTACGCGAATTCTTGAATTTCTGAATATTCATTATAATGTATTAAACATTTCAGTAGTACAAATTTCGCCAGAATGTGTTGATCATTCTACCATTTTGAAAATCTTTGAAAATTATACCAGAATAATTATACGAGAAAAACGTGTTCAATGTTCAGTTCACTTCAAACAATAGTTTCGAACGAACACGGGATACTGTTAATAAAAGTAAATAAATGTACAATCTTGAATTTATCCACTAATTTGGAATTACGAGTAAAATTTGTCATTTCTGTGCAAAAATATCACTCGTCAAAGTGACACAAAAGCGCTGTGCACTCGTCCGGATTTCGAACAATGAAATTCATGAGACAAATATACAGACAAATATAGTAGATTACTGATTTACTATCAATTTATTTATTCGAATAATTATTGATTCTTTATTGCAATAAATTATTCGAATATAGATTGTAAAATTATTCGAATAATAATGAGATTAATCGTTGAGTAACTTTTTATTCGAATAAAAGTTAGAGAACACGAGTTTTTTATTTCTTTTTGTCACTCCAAATAATTAAAGAGAGCAAAATTAAGAAAGCTAGTGACTATATATAGTAAACTAGTGATTAGTCGCTCTAATATTTCCAAATCAATTAAAAAACAACAGAGGAAGAAAGGCGACATATAATAAATAAAAGTTGGATATAATAAATAAAAAGAAAGAAAAGAAAGATTTAGTCCAGTTTTTTAATAAAAGTTATTGTTTTAGAAGGTGTACTGCTTTTGTATTCCAAAAATGTTCAAACTCTACGCAAGCATAAAAATCAGCAGTAGCTACCCTAACAAGCATTCATTCGAATAACAGCGTTATCCACTGAAACTAAGAAACATTGGATCGTACTTCCAGATAGAATCGCCGGCGAATAAATTGCGTTGAGAGGAGCTAAGAAGATGTCGTGATTAAATTGGCCGTTTCGTAATCAAATGCCGCAGTAATGGTACGTAAACGTAGCGCGGCCGGTCACGAGACGGAAACGCGGCCAAATGTGCTTTTCGTGAGTGTTGCACGGCTTGCGCATAAATTTCTCGGCGTGGACGTTGGTCTCGATCTACGGGGATGACAGAGCCGACGGCGTACGTGAGCAAGCCACATTAGCGACAAACAGTTCGAGCGTGCTAATAGCGCCGAGAGGGACGCCATAGTTCCAGCAACGGTGGAAAACCGTGCGGAACGGCCAGCAGAATTTGTTTTTCTAGATAACAAGGTAGCAGAGCAGCGGCGCCAGTGGATCTGGATCGGGCAGCATATCGTATTAACCGTGGCGATCAAACGAGCTCGAATCAATCGGCCGCAATTGTAGCGGACGCGAACATGATCCGCTTGCGACAACGACACCGGTGCGGCCGCGAGATAAAAGTTAATGGACTATGCGGGAACGTTTCTATTAAATTAATTTCGGGCACCGACGGGTCGCCGCATTGTCCCGAGCGGCGCGGGACTCGTGGACCCCCGCGATATTTTTCTAATTATGAGACCCTGTCCATAGGAAATTGCGCAATTAATAGTCCCTGTTTCGCGAACGTATCGATCGATCGAGCGACCAGTCGCCGGCCCTGCGATGGCACGCGAAAAATATTACAATCGACCCCGGGCAGCGTATAAAGGAATTTTAGTGGGAATAAAACGGTTGCGCCGGGCGCAGCCATAAACTCGCCGCGTGAATAATATCGTTCGCCGGTAACTTGTATCGATCGACACACGTATCGGCTACTGATCGACGCGGAAATTAAATTAACCAGCGTTATGGAGCGCGAAATTCTGACGTCTTGAATGGCCCAGAAAATCGACGGCTTTCAGTCAGCAAGAACGATTGCGATTTTCAACGCCGTATGCGGAACGATGGTGCGATCAACCAGATGGGAAGTTATTCTATGGCGATCCAACGAGGAGTGTTACGACGGAATTATTAGCAGTGGAGCACGTTTGTAACGTAAGAACTGCTGTTGCAATAATAAATTACAATAAGCACGGTAAAACCATGACTGATAAGAAGAAGACGTCTTTATACACCTTTGAAAATTTTGGAGGAACTGCGAAACGAATCGTTCTACCACGTCGCCAATATTTGTTCGGCTGACAAATTAGAATCTGTGGAATGTCGTAATGAGTGAGTGTAGTAATTTATAGTCACTTTGTAAATATCGATTTTCTTGATTCTTAGAATTTGGATATTTTTCCTTGTCAATTAACTGTTACTTTATGCGTTTATAGAATCGCACGAAGATAGCAATGAATAAAGAATTTTCAAACATTGTTATATGTCTAGCAACTCATTGAATGTGTGTGTAGCTGTTAGATCTTGCAATTAATGCAGATAGTTTTTATTTTGCATAAAAATCTGCGGTCTAGTAATAAATTAGTATCTGTGTAGGTAGGTTTAAGAAGTCAATGACTGTTCTGCGTAAAATAATCTCTTGAGAAATTATTATATTACACCATTGAGGGTGATCTCTAGTTATCAATATTTAATCTTTACCCTCCAAATAATCTTCAAAGCGATCAGTAAAATCATAAACATAATAATCGAAATTAACTTCTGTATTTAACATTTTTACCGAAAATGTGCTATTTTCGAGATATTTAGATTTGAAGTTTCCAAATGAACACGTTATATACAGAATATACAGCAAAAATATAAGCAATACCATCTGTTTATAAACGTACAATCTCCGATTCCATGAATATTTGACAAGGGCGAAATTTCGATTGAAATAATCGAGAATAGTGAAGGAGAATGTAGAATAAAGTTCTCCGTATCAATAAACTCCGTTGAGGGAAAGAAATCGAATGGGTTATACGATTCAGGCTCTCCGGGGCGGCGCAGGAAAGTTAAGGAAAAGATAGTGGTTGACAGAAAAACGGGGGCGGCGTGGATTTCATTCGTTCAGGCACGGCAAACCGAAATGTCTAATGCGATTTTGATGCGAGTCCCCTCGAGGAAGATAGCGGGAGGCTCGAAACCGCGCCATATTAAAATTCTCGTTTGCCGTGAAATGTATTTAAACGATCCCGCGAATGAATTAATATTTTCTACGGAGCGAACGACACACGGAATCGATAACGAGCAGCTGTGTGAAACGCTAAATTGAAAATAATATATTTCTTCGTGCTTCGGATTTCATCCCTCGCGCGTGATGGCATTGCGGTCACACGCACCGTTCCCAGCTGGTTCCCGCAGGAATACAGAAATAGAAAATTCATAATGCATTCGAGCATGTTAGCAAAACACCGGGGCACAATAATCGAGCGGCACTCGCGGTTCCTAGGCTCCGCGAAATTGCAATGTAAATTGATGGGTTCGCTACGGAAATGGTCACTGCTTTCGCCCGCAAAGGGCTAGGGTCTAGATTTCCAATAGGCTTCAAATTAACAATTTTTGTGAAAAATTATTTCGGTGAAGGTTTTACTAATATTAGATCAATTTTTTTTCTACGATCATTCTTATCTACAAGGGATATTATATTCATTATTTTCTACAAGGGATATTATATTAATTATTTTCTACAATGGATATATAATATTCATTATTTTCTACAAATTCTTACCATAATTGTTCAAACCATACATTTGATCTTCCGAAGAAAACTCAAGGTTTCTTTTTCAATTTTATTGAGATTAAAAAATGTTTTTGATGACCGAAACTACCCTGACTTGATATCGCAAATTCTTTTTTTTTCCAACGAGCCTAGAATCGCCATCCTAAAACCTTATGGCACCAATGAATACATGAATAGCATGGTCGCAGCTGCAATGTTTGGCTTTCTAAATTTTAGCTGTATTTGTAATTCCCTTTGGACCACTGCGATTGATTTCTAAATTTTTTGGTGCATTTACGATTGAATATTGAAAGGTCGGGATACAATCTGAATTTTTTGGTCAATTAAGAATGTTATAGTGTAAAAGTGTTCTAGTATTTGGTCAGAGAGGTTAACAGTGAACGCTCACTATGAGAATTGATCCAAGAAATACCTGGGGCTGCAGTTTTAATCATTCGATGGAAAGTGTTATTGGACGAGCCAATTAATTATATTAGTATTCTGTATAAATTGCATAAGATCGCCTATCGACACTTCGGCAACATGCATATGCATATACTGTTATATTTGCAAAGCAAATTGGATAATTGATGAAATACGTTCGTTTATTGGTATTATTGGCTAATTACTAAACTGCGAACGTTCGTGAAAATCACGGCTTTCGGCAGCCAATTACTGCGAAAGGGGTTTCTACTTGCCACTACTTGTGCAAATATTTTCACCAGGTATTATAAAATTATTCAGTCAGTTACAATTTATTCGCGCAATATTATTTTTGATAAAAAAAAAGTTTTTATTCGCGGCATAACATGTAATAATTTTTTAAACAGGCTATTTATTTCACGTTAAAAACTGCTTTCATCCCCTCAAAAAGGATAACAGTGAGAGATATCGACACGGTATTTTATGACACATTATTTCTCGAAGTCGAGATCGGATGCTATCAATTGTGTTCCTCGGAAGACACTTCCGTTGTCTTCTTGTTATCATGAACGCGACGCGTAACAATGTTATCCGACCAAGACACGACGCACCAGCAACGCGGTCGCTTTGTAACCTGTAAGTCAAAGCTTTGTCTTCGAGCCTGAGGTCAAAACCAAACACCTCCGCTGTGTTCGCCATTGGACTTCAAACTTGATACTCTATTTTCAATTAATCGATAATACTAACTGTCCCACTTTATATAATTGGTCATTTCGCAGACAATTAGCAAACTAATAATTTCCAGGAGGAGAAAGTCGTTTCAGCATTTACGTACATTTGTAATCTCGATCAAAAACCTTAATCTGTTCTTCACTTGCTTCACCATGTAAACCGCACAGTTTAAAAAAAAAACCGGGCAAAAAATCAATTTCTTTTAATGTAAGGTCCTTAAGGTTGTTCGTTAACGTAGGCGTAAGATATCTGAAAAAATGAAAGTAATACTGCACGAGTAAAACATAATTACTTTCACTTATACTTCATAAAAATATTGACCAAATTTATTATTAAGATAATTTAGAGTCAAGTTAACTTTATAGTTTATTTCACTTGTCTTTTTAATATTTTGACGTTTGAACGTTTTAAGAGATAAGTGAAAGTTTTCGAAAATATAATTAAAAAATTTACGCCACACACACACGCACACATTACGATTCTATACAAATTGTGGGATATCTATCCAAATTTTCACAAATTGTTAAAATGACTGTGTCGCACTTGTGCAAGTGAATGCATTTGATAGAATAAATGAGTCGAGGTTTACGGTTGCATGATTCTTTTTAAAAACATCATTGCTATCTAAACCGCACAAAAGTGATTAGCGTTTTCATTCTTGGTGATTTACTAATTCCCGAGAATTCCCCCCAAATGTAGAAAATGTTAAGTAGGGATAGAACGACATGCAAAAACAGTGATAACTATTGGATGCCATTGATGTTTATATTATCTCTGGTAATCCGTGTCTCCATTGAAAAAAAAATCAAGACGAGCAGATTCGAGGGCGAGTGTTTTCGAAGAGAGAAACAATATATCTTCGCACTTCACGTGTACGCGTTCACCTGCACTTTCGACGAGCTAGGAACAACGAGAGGTCAACGGGGTGCGGGGTTGGGTTGGTCGAGGGTGATATTCTCTTGCACCCTTCGTTTTCATCGACGTAGATACACGGTATAGGTGTATGGCAACACGGACGTACATTTGCAGCCCACTAGAGTATCATAGATCATTATTTAGCATACGTTCCTCGACGGTCGACGGCCGACGGTCGCTGGGGTTTGGGGAACAGAGGCGAGAGGAACATCCAGCGTGGCGCGACAGGTGACCGGTCGCAGGACTGTTGCAGGAAATGTAGATGAAACAGAGACGCATCCTTTTTATTTTTGTTCACCTGCCGCCGGCTGTCCTTCGGCTATGGCCGGTTTCGTCGTCTCGGTTCCACCGAACCGGCTTGACAGGGATTTATTATCATCGACGTGGCAGCGACACAAAACATGATGAATCGAGTGCGCTGCGCCCGTTGGCGCGTCGCACGATGCCGTGCCACTGTGACCCAGACTTATAATACATTTTAATTAATCGTTCCGGCCAGATTAATTTGTCATCGGCCGGTCTGACGAGATCCGGACCGCCGAGATTGCGGACTTTTTTCAGTCGTCGGGATACCGTCGTATTTTAGCTGCTCCGGGAGCGTTGGATTTCGCGGATATTCTGAGCCCGGGTGACAAATTAATAAACGAGAATTTGCGAAAATATTTCGAATTCCCGGCGTAGGTACAGAGTAGCGATCATAAATTGAATATAGTAATTAATCTCAAACGTAAGGCTGCGAAGTTTAAGCAAGACACTGTTGTTTTTATGTTGCTTGACAGCGAGAAACTTTTCCGAATTCGTTCGTTATATTAGTATACGATTATCAGAATTCGTATGCAGTCTCTGGTTGATTTAAATTCATTTACGAAGCATAAAAGTATGGATTAATTATCGAATTTATTACTTAACTCCTTGCACTATTTATTTCACGGCTACGTTGATTAGCGATATTTCGTCCTTAATAATTTCCTTACTGGAATGAAACGATTTCTGTTTGATGGTGCGGATGATTGATTAGTTATATTATCGTGTGTATGTGTGCGTGTGTTTGATCTAGTGATATTATAGCTAGTTTATTAAATATAAAGATGATACTTAATTTCTCTTATTATAAATCCAGCAGAATTAAAGAGAAGTCTCCGATTGGCTGACGTTATACACGCATTATGACGCATAATTTGTTTACAAAAATTTCCTGATAGATTGAAAAATTGATCTGCCGTCAAAATTAAAGCTCTGAAAAAGGGATATTTATCGGTCGCGCCATACGTCGTAGAACGGCTCGTGTAGGGACATATCCCCGATAAACGACTCGATTGTTTATGGGGACGCGTGAGCCGCTATTAAATATTTAATACTTTAATCGCAGGTTGCACGGGCGACCCTAGTAGCGGCGCGGTCATGCTGTATTGGCATGCACGGCCGCACATGCGAAATCTGCGACAGGATAAATCGCGAGTGGAACCGCGATATCGCTTCCGCCAGTTCTGCCTCATCCGAATCGAAATGCCGCTGCTAAATAATTCTTAATAACATCCCGATGCTATTTCCGTCATTTAACTTACCTAATGACTAATCAATGTACACCTTAAATAAGTGGCAGAATCGATGAAGATGTTCATTCCAGTGTAGACGATGATTCTTGTCTAGACGATATAGTATATAGTATAGTATAGTATAGTATAATATAGTATATAGTATAGTATAGTATAATATAGTATATAGTATAGTATAGTATAATATAGTATATAGTATAGTATAGTATAATATAGTATAACATTGCAAAGACAATCCCTGGAAAGAAATATACGAACACCTTTCAAAACGCAAGAACTTCTTCAAAAATGGACTAAATAACTTGAATTTCTTTGAAATGTTAAAGGCTCTGTGCAATGACTAGTGTATCTAGAATAGAAATCTACAAAACGTATTTTTAAAATTTTTGCTTCAGGTTCAGATAAAACAATTAAAAAGCGAAAGTTTTCTCATCATTTTCGTCGTTCCAAATAACAGCAAAATATGGAAAAAGTATCTCAGTCTTTGCACAGGAAACTAGTCTCTTTATCATTAAAAAGAGTACAAGTTATTTAGTCCTGTCTTTAAAAAGTTATTTCGTCTTAAAAGATGTTCGAATACTTTTTGCCAGGCGTAGCAGAAACTGAACAAAAATGTGTTTCTTCGTTTGACTCTGGAACAGCGAGCTCGAATCCAAATGAATCCGCAGTAGAATTATTGTGAATTGATTAATTATTGCGACTAAATGGAGCACCTTAACAAATAGATTGGGAAAAAATGATGAACGAAGTTACATTTTGTGAGGGTCAATAATTTTGATAAATCAAAGTGTAATGTGACAGTGTTCTTGAGACTAGTCACAAAATTCAGCATGAATAGTTTCGAAATGTTTGTAAATTAACGACATGTTTGCTTCAAGAACCAGATTCAGGAAACATTGTACCCACACTGCTTGAAGCCTAACGGATGTTTTTAATAATTTAACGAATACTTGGTAGTTTCAGCCTCTCAAAAAATTCCATCTTCATATAGACAGGTTCCAGAAGGTAATTTTGGAAAGTTCGCCGTGGATGCCCCCCGACTGCACGGACCGCTGTGAGAAAATACTTAACCGAATAAGGAGCCACGAGCGCTCTGCGACTATAATTCATGCTGGCAGTCATTTTTATTTCAGCCTGCTTATCCCTCGTGTTCGTGTACTACGTTGCTACCGTACGCTTTGTTCGTAGCCAAGATTTTCTATTCCCCGCGTTCATCCATCATCGTCTAGTAACCCGATCCATTTTGCTAAGGAGCTGGCAATGCTTNTATAGTATAGTATAGTATAATATAGTATATAGTATAGTATAGTATAATATAGTATATAGTATAGTATAGTATAATATAGTATATAGTATAGTATAGTATAATATAGTATATAGTATAGTATAGTATAATATAGTATATAGTATAGTATAGTATAATATAGTATATAGTATAGTATAGTATAATATAGTATATAGTATAGTATAGTATAATATAGTATATAGTATAGTATAGTATAATATAGTATATAGTATAGTATAGTATAATATAGTATATAGTATAGTATAGTATAATATAGTATATAGTATAGTATAGTATAATATAGTATATAGTATAGTATAGTATAATATAGTATATAGTATAGTATAGTATAATATAGTATATAGTATAGTATAGTATAATATAGTATATAGTATAGTATAGTATAATATAGTATATAGTATAGTATAGTATAATATAGTATATAGTATAGTATAGTATAATATAGTATATAGTATAGTATAGTATAATATAGTATATAGTATAGTATAGTATAATATAGTATATAGTATAGTATAGTATAATATAGTATATAGTATAGTATAGTATAATATAGTATATAGTATAGTATAGTATAATATAGTATATAGTATAGTATAGTATAATATAGTATATAGTATAGTATAGTATAATATAGTATATAGTATAGTATAGTATAATATAGTATATAGTATAGTATAGTATAATATAGTATATAGTATAGTATAGTATAATATAGTATAACATTGCAAAGACAATCCCTGGAAAGAAATATACGAACACCTTTCAAAACGCAAGAACTTCTTCAAAAATGGACTAAATAACTTGAATTTCTTTGAAATGTTAAAGGCTCTGTGCAATGACTAGTGTATCTAGAATAGAAATCTACAAAACGTATTTTTAAAATTTTTGCTTCAGGTTCAGATAAAACAATTAAAAAGCGAAAGTTTTCTCATCATTTTCGTCGTTCCAAATAACAGCAAAATATGGAAAAAGTATCTCAGTCTTTGCACAGGAAACTAGTCTCTTTATCATTAAAAAGAGTACAAGTTATTTAGTCCTGTCTTTAAAAAGTTATTTCGTCTTAAAAGATGTTCGAATACTTTTTGCCAGGCGTAGCAGAAACTGAACAAAAATGTGTTTCTTCGTTTGACTCTGGAACAGCGAGCTCGAATCCAAATGAATCCGCAGTAGAATTATTGTGAATTGATTAATTATTGCGACTAAATGGAGCACCTTAACAAATAGATTGGGAAAAAATGATGAACGAAGTTACATTTTGTGAGGGTCAATAATTTTGATAAATCAAAGTGTAATGTGACAGTGTTCTTGAGACTAGTCACAAAATTCAGCATGAATAGTTTCGAAATGTTTGTAAATTAACGACATGTTTGCTTCAAGAACCAGATTCAGGAAACATTGTACCCACACTGCTTGAAGCCTAACGGATGTTTTTAATAATTTAACGAATACTTGGTAGTTTCAGCCTCTCAAAAAATTCCATCTTCATATAGACAGGTTCCAGAAGGTAATTTTGGAAAGTTCGCCGTGGATGCCCCCCGACTGCACGGACCGCTGTGAGAAAATACTTAACCGAATAAGGAGCCACGAGCGCTCTGCGACTATAATTCATGCTGGCAGTCATTTTTATTTCAGCCTGCTTATCCCTCGTGTTCGTGTACTACGTTGCTACCGTACGCTTTGTTCGTAGCCAAGATTTTCTATTCCCCGCGTTCATCCATCATCGTCTAGTAACCCGATCCATTTTGCTAAGGAGCTGGCAATGCTTTCGGGGTCAAGCTCCGTGCAGCCAACAATGTGTTAAGCGCGGGCTGTGCGAAACAATGTCTATTCTTCTTTGTTGCACCCGCTATGAGAAGAGAGAATATTTTAATTGCGGATTAATTTATCTTCGACTGAGAGCGAAACAGGATTTCGATGGTTAAAGCAGCGTGACTAACCGATCCTGTAACATTATCAATTGTTTATAATATTTATATCTTGAAACAGAGAGTAAAAATAAAACAGTGTCTGCTTCGATATTAGTACAAGCTGTTGTGGAAACGCTACAAAATAATGATTTTTTACGTTTGAAAAAACGATGGAAGATTCATTGTATTTGATCAAATATCATCAGTACAGAAGAAAGGCTACTGCATATGAACAGGAGTGGCACGATTATGCAATTACGGAGATAGACTAGAAACACTTGTGTACCAGCAATACCATTTAATGCCCGGTCACCAGCCGTATATCTCAGGCAATGCGTTCAAAGCCGTCGTTAATGGAACGATTTAATGCTTCTTACTAGACGGATTGCACAAAAGGTATTTGCGCAATTAACCGTGCCGAGCAGGACAAGTTTAGTCGGAGGACGTGTAATTCGTGAACACAGCATGCCAGAATGCCGGGCCCAGCAAACACCAGGAAGCAGTGTCTACCCGGTTACGCTTCTGATCCCAAACAGAGGAGAGATCCGACCATTGTATTCTGAAAAGTGACATTATCGGCTCGCACCGGGGTACGGATGTTTACAGAACGCCGTAATGGATTTTACAATCTAATAGCTCTCCCAGTTCCTCCTTCTATCCTTCGACGAACCTAAGAAAACCAGCGATCGGTTTCACCTTAGAGATTTTCGATATCGAAAACTTGATCGCAAAACAATTTGTTTATCTGGCATCTCTTGGTTTCTCACGGAGAGGATCGATTGCGAAAGTAAAAGGTAAAAGATTTCACGGTACTCTCCTGTGATTTTGCCAAAATTCTGCTCCATAAGTGAGCTGCTTTACTACTAACAAGGGATGATCCCCAACACGAAAATTCAAAAAATTCTGAGATTTTAGAGGATATGTAAAACATATGTAGATATGAATTGTGCATTTTTATTCTTGCGTAAATTCACTTTAATTCACTTTAATTGGAAAGTAATCCCGAAATATTCGACTATTTTTTTATTTTATTGCTATAATTCGCGAACTGTACGAGATAGAAAAGATGTCTTCGAACAAAGATCACTTCTTTCGTCCAAATCTAACAAAAAAAGTAAAAATGAATATTGATTG